CCGGGTACACCAGACGATTAAATGGCTGCGACTTGAAATAGGAACGCACCAATGTCAAATACAGATTTCTCGCTACATGTAGATATTTATGTTTGTAAACAAGGTCTACGCTGTCGTGTGGACAACGCACAGCGCCAGCGAGTCTATCCTCTATACGAGTACATACGATGAGTGTCGGCGCCCACAGCGCTAACGGGTGCTAATAAAAGCTTTTGCATAGTAATCGCGTGTACGGCAAGCAGCTTGATAAATTTTACACTTCTCTATAAAGCCACCTCCTGTGCTGCCCAAAATTACAATATTATGGCGCTTACTTGTATTGGTGCAGAGTGTGTGTGTGTGTGTAGCTCGTTGGCTGTTTGCTCGCCTGGTTGCACACAACCACACACTGATATCTCTATATTATCACAGATGCTATCGCTGCGGCGCCTTGGGTGCACTAGTATTAGGACTACTACCTCCGCCACAGTTGCAACGCCACGCCACGCCGACATTATAAACTTTAATTAAACATAAACTGAGCGTAGTGGAATATAGAAATACAGCATGCTGCCGCATCACAGCGAATCCTGTGTCGTGCGCTGCCTTGCTTTGCAGCTGTTCGCCGGCTTGGACTCCGGAGAGCCATACCAGTCAACTAAATAAGCGTATTAGTATTACCAGAAAGCAGCGCCAGCCCCTACAGTTCCGCTCGCTCTGCTTATATGTATGTAGTTCGATCTGTGGTTGCCAGAGCTGTGTAGTTGGTGCGGTGAACACAACGTTCTTTGTACAAGCATATGCATGTATGTAAAGGGTGTGTGTGTGTGTGTACACATTAAGCCATTGAAACTGGTCCAGCTTCCGGGCATTAAATGCTATTTACGTGGTTAAAACTGTGTTTGTGTGTACATACTCGTATATGTGTGTATTTGTAACGGTATGCTGTCACATGAATCGTTGCCGCCATCGTTCTAACGGCATGATTTGCAAGTATGTGCGTGTAAGATGTCTCGGAGCATTCAAATGTTTGGCGAATTATTCCACATGTACAAGACTATCGTAGCAGAGAATTACGTTGCCTGCAAATTATGGTTTGGTATAATAATCTACATATATATTTATTATATATATATACTCTCCATAGCAGCGCAAATTTTGGTAATTATGTATGTATGACATATAAAGTGATACATATGTATGTGTACCTATATAAATGTTTAATGACTGAGTGACTGATTCAATGTAAGCGGTTAGGATTTAATAGTTGATAAATTAATAATATAACAGTAGCTAGAATATTATATAATTAACCTTAATGTTATTATAACTACCGGGTAGAAATTCCTGTAGCCTCCACTTATATGTATCGATTAAAAACGTTATAGTTCATATTGATTCTTACTTAATTATAGTTAAGCCCCCCAGAGGTTGTTAGTTATTTTCAGACACTACATACAATTGTATTATAGCATCAAAATGCTGTCCAAGTGTATATATTCATTATATCAGGATAGATAGTGTTATGAGCTCTTTGGAAAATTTTGTCAAAAAAAGTGGACATATATACAAAGATTTTTACCGTCACATAAATTTTTTTGAAAAAACGTAATTCTTCTAACTATGTATAATAGTGACAAATTTACGGAACACTGAAAGAAGAATGAATTGTAAATTTAACAGATGTCAAATATTGTGGGTAATTCCTTTTTTTCTTTTTTTTTTAAACAAACAAAAAAAAAACGTTAACTTCGGCTGCACCGAAGCTTTAATACACTGCACAGGTGCGTTTTTTATAGCATAGAAAGGTATAAAAAGATCTTTATTCAGATTTCTATCGATTAGTTGGAATGACAGTTATAATCTTTAGTGATTCGATCTGATTATAACGTTCGGTGATTGTAGCAATACTTTGGATAATAACCTAAGCCAAATCGCATGAAGATATATTTTCTTTATGGCAGCTTTATGCTATAGAATTCCGATCTGAACAATTTACTCAAATATTATAACGGTGAATTAGGTAATAAGTCATGCCAAATTGCGTGGAGATATTTCATCAAATAAACAAGTTTTTTGTATGAGGACGTGATTCTGATTGGCAAGTTTATATGGCAGCTATATGCTAAAGTGGTCCAGTATTGGCGGTTCCGACAAGTAAGCAGCTTCGTGGGTATCTCATAAACTGAGGGATATAGGCATATCTATAAACAGAGGGACGGACAGACGTACATGGCTACATCGAATAAGCTCATCATGCTGATCATTGTTTTAGCCCGTATATGGTGTCTGAAGTTTCCTTTTGAGAGTTACAAACTTCGTGAAAAACTTTATATGCCAAATTTAGAGGTTATTTTTCCAAATAAATTAGTTCGAAATTATCCGGCAATCTAGCAGTGGCGTATCACAAGTGACCACAATAAATGAACTTATGTATGATGTATGTAAAAATAGTCATCATTGCCTATTTTTTCTCAATTATAGTTCACCAATATATGCTTCTATAACCCAACCAGTTTTAAAGATTGAAAAGTTAAATGTATTTTTTACAAACAAAATGCATTTGTCCGATTTAAAATAGAAATAATCAGGCACGAGAGATAATGTTCGCTTTTTCCGATTCACCAAGCGTTATGACGAATATTTTTTAAAAATTCTGATAAATCCTTGGCATGATGCTGAAGGCCTTAATGATCTTAATGGTGAATTGCGCATAATTAAATAATCACAGGCGTTAAAGTTAAACGTTTGTAAACTTAGGTACTCATTGCTTTCATTTCAACCACCACGGTTCACCATAAAATTTGTCCAGAGCATGAAGAGTAATATTTGATCGTTTTTATCAATCATCCCTAATATCATAAACAAGAATTTGTTGCCAGTAATTAAAATTAAACCGGCAGATGCCTATAACAGATATCAAAATTACTACGTTTTGGTAATAAAGATTTGCTAACAAAAAAAATATTAAAATATTTTAAGCCTTCTTAGTCCCTTAAATAATAAGTAGATTTCATCGCCAAGCCGGTTTTATCAACTAGAAAGTCAAGTGAAAGTTTAAGCCTTCGTAAAAATTTCATAAGTCCGGTATAAAAATAAAATAAACTACATAAAGTGTAAGAAAATAAATGTTCATAACAACAATCCCTACTTATTCAAACCTGCTGGCAAATCTATTGGCTGATACCTCGCGCCAGATGCAGAATTACACCTTTCTCGCAAATATTATTTCAATTTATCCTAATTGTTAATATGTATATTTATATAGTTTACGCGTAAGTAATAATTAGATGCTCGATTGTTCGAATATGTAATATCTGCAGCATTATATTTCGATATCGACTAAATTTAGAAGTTTTCTGGATAAACACACTATACAGGTTGGTTGAAAAGCTTCTGCTCTCACCAAGAAATATCACTACGAGCTCCAACTTTTTTTTAAGTGTGTGCGTTTTAAATGTGGTCGTACTAGGCTTGAAGATGATCCAAGCAAAGGACGACCAAAAACCGCAACCACACCAGAAATCATTGTGCAAGCTTATAATATTGTTAGTGAAGATCCAAGTTTGACAAGGCGTGAAATTGCTAATACGATAGGCATCTCAGACGAACGAGTCCCCCCTTTTTTACATGGAGAATTAAATATGAAAAAGCTGTTTGGAAAGTTAGTGTCGCACAATCAACTCCGAATATTATTGCAGACTTTTGGATGAGATAGATGAAAAAATTAGTGAGAAGAGGCTTTGGTTTGCAACACAAAAAAATCATTTTTCATCAAAACAATGCATCTGCTCACAAAGGTGTTTTAACAATGACAAAATTCAACGAATTAAAGTACGAATTGCTAGAGCATCACCAGATTTGGCTCCCAGCGACTCCTATATCTTCAGAAACCTGAAACAATTCCTTCGTGTTAAGCGAAGAGCTTCCGAAAAGTCATTATAGGGATGGCATAAAATTATTGGAGGATCATTGGAATAAGCGTATTGAAGTTAGGGGAGATTATATTGAATAAAAATATATGTTTCGTACCAAAAAAAGTATTTTTTTCATTTCGAGCGCTTTTCAACCAACCTGTATATGTATATGATATAAAAAATTAATTCAATTTGGTATGGTTCTAAATATTAAGTCACAAAAGATCAAATTTTCTATATACTATCTTTATAAAGTATAATTTTCATAATGTTATAAATTGATTATAGATGAGGTAAGAAAAGAACGCGTGAGAGAATTCATACCAGTGGAACCGGTTTTCAGAAATTTTTCTATGTAAGAACTAAATAAAGTGCTGTTGTAATGAGCATGAAATATGCTGCGTATTGAATTACCAGTACATTTTCAGACAGCTGACAGTAATTGTAACGAATCTCGTCTACTTTAGCATTATTCAGTGAAGTCCAAAAATCGAGGAGATAAGTGCAGAGCAAAGTTCATTCAAGCATTTTGACATTGATATCCGACATTTTGTTGTTGTTATTTGGTTCAATATTTTCTTAGAATTTTTGCTAGGGCTTTGTTTGCATTTTGAAGCTCCTGACACTCGCAACAAATTTAGTATGGGATAATGACTTATGCACAACAAAACTGGCTTGGTAACAATACAAAAATGAAAAACAAAAACAATTGATGCCAGACATAGAATACGAGCATATTAAGCGCGACGCAGTTATTCATTGATATGAATATGTTCACCAAGGCATATTTACAATACATACCAATACAAACAAGCTGTTTATACTAAGGCAAACCACAAGCAGGCAATAGAAAAAGCTTTTTGTTGTTCTTGTTGTTATGTGGAACAAAACGTGCTGTTTGGCAAATAAATAAAATGTTAATAGAATTGCGTTCAACGAACGAACGACTGCGTAAAACGGGAGGCGTCATTCGATGAGGCAGACACTTTATGGACACGCGCCGAGGAAAGTATTTTATAAGGACTACACGCGGCTTATATATACATGTATAAGTATGCATGTATAAGTAAATTTCTATATATACATATATATTACTGGCATTGCTCACTTTGGTGAGCAACGTGAGGCGCGATGTGGTATGCTGCAGGGAGTTGGTGGCATGCTACAAATTAAATGAGCATTGCAAATAGAAGGCAGTTTATTCGTATTTTAATACTTTTTTCGTCTTTTTCTATTTGCAGGCGTAGATAAGTGAATGTAGCGTAGTTGATGCGTGGATAAATACAATATTATTCATGCCACAATCGACTAATGAGGTTTAATATAAAACAGACTAAATACCGTTTGGGTTAGATTTGCTTATGGGGGGGATGTGTGTGTGTCGAAATTTCTTTGGTGTTTCTGAGAGTATTTAATTTTGAGTTGATTAGAAAGAAAGATTTTGATAAGTGAATTTAAAGGCTTCTAAAAACTCTGACACAATAACTCAAAATGATGAGAATTTATATAAAATACATTATGAAGTATTTATTTTCTTAGCTTATAGTAAAGAAGAGAAGAATTAAATAACTTTTGAACGACGGGGTTTACGTAAAAATGTTATGTCCATCAGAAACTTTGAAGACAAAACGCATTAGAAATATAAAGCTTACAATTACTGAATAATTTGAACCAAATTAAGTTAATAATGCTTTACAATATGACCTCCTGTACCAGCGTGAAAATGGCAGAAATCAGTCTACATAGATCAATACACTTCCCATATATAGACATACTCGTACTGAACTAGGCAGCTTAAAACATATAATTCCAGCAATATTGGAGTTATAACCGTAGAAATAATTATAAATGATGTTCTTAATGTGTACCAATTCCGACCCGTAATCATAACAATTGGCTGTTTTCTTAACTTGCTACTATGTATATATCAAATGTAAAAAGCTCCGTTCTACCGATTAATTTTATACTAATAAAGCGATTAATATGTGAGATATTTTAACGAAATTGCGAACACATGTGCCTCATCACCAATTTACCATATATCCATTATAATAATTTTCGTTACTTTGGTTGACTTTCTACCACATAATTGGCTCAATATCCGAGGTAGTTTTATCAAATGAGTTGGAAAATTTTCTTTAACTTTAAATCGTTCGGCACCAAAGACATCCGAAATCGGTATACACTTCCCTGTAGCTCACTTATCCCTTTCCAATCTACGCCTGATCTATAAAACTACAAATATTTTTAAAAGCTACTTCAAGTTTCTAACAAAAAGTATAGATTCGAAACTCTAAGCCAATAAGTCTGCATCATCTTGCTGATGAAAAATCATGTTCAAATGGGCAGTGATTATAGCCCCTAAGCCTTTTGTCAGTAAAAGTTATACTAAGTACAAATGTGGTATACATTTTTCATAGTCGTATTTCGATAAGTGTGGTAATAAAAATTAATAATACTGGCTCTTACCTTTAAAGCATATTTATATTTATGTAGCTTGGTCTGGTAAATTCGAAAATTTTGTATGTCTTGATTTTGATCGGTAAGCTTGAATTTCGCTATAGTAGTTCAGTCTGAAAAATTTGCTCGGAACTTATAGCGATACCTTGGATAATATTCTATACCAAATTTTGAAAAGATACTTTGCAAATAAAAGGTTTTTCTTACAATGACTTGAGTTTGATCCGTTAGTTTGTAAGGTAGCTGTATCTTATAGAGGTTCGAAAACGGCGATTACGACAGAAGAGCAACTGGAAAACTTAATATACCCTCTTCAGGGTATAACCATATTAACTATAGAATATGTATAGAAATAAATTTATATATTATGTCTTCAACCACTCATATTAACTCTGTTTAACTCTTTTTTTTTTTGCATTTTTATACACTATATATAGTACCGATTAAAAGAGCTCTGAGAAAAGAGAAATTGCCAATCATTAATTAAACTGTTGCAACATGTTGCTACAGAGTATAATAGTTTTCTTCAGCTAAAAGTTGTTTGTATCACCGAAAACTAATCGAGCCTTGTCAAAAAAGAAAGTACGAGTTCGTAGATGGGCGTGATAGGACCACTGCCACGCCCAATAGACGCTATTAACCGAAAACTTATAAAATTCCATAATTAAGCACTAAATAAAGATATAAAACTGCAAATTGGTACATAGGATTGCAGTAGCAAGGAGCATCCGTGAGCTAAAAATTTTGAAAATATGGGCGTAGCCCCTCTCTCTTATAGATTAAATACACATATCTCTTAACTATTAATTAAATAATTCACTTAGAATAAATTCTTTAAGAGCCCTAACCGACAGTGCGAAAATGGATACAATCAGATTATAACCCCGCCCACTCCGCATATAACGGTTTTGTTAAAAACTACTAAAATCCCGATATTTCAATAACTTAATACTTCAGAGACATAAAATTTTACACCAGAGATGATACAGGCGGGCTTTATAGGAGTCGGTGTCAAATTTGGACAATGGGCGTGGCACCGCCCACATTTAGGTGAAAATCCATATCACGGGACCTAGTCAACCGATTCAAGCCAAATTCGGTGTGTAATATTATCCTGACATTCCTACATTACAGTGTGAAAATTTTAAAATTCATCTGATTCTTTCACTATCTAGTATATAAATCCAGAACCAATCAATGTAGCCGGACGAAACTTTGCAAAAATAGTGCCCTCAAAGTAGGTATAATATTTCATCTTACACTCAAAAATTGTCGAAATCGGACTATAACTTTTCCAGAACCCAGACGCCAAATATGTGGACCCCAGTGCGTATGGCTGACTTTTTGCCAAAAATATCGGTCGTATTGTAAGATATAAAATTGAAATTCAGTTAAATTGTTTCTTTGACAATACAATAATATACACTTGCGTCAAAAGTTGGTTGCATCGGGCAAGTACTTCCCTTAGCCGCTATATACCATTTAAAAAGATTTTCGTACTTCCAGTTGACTTTATATTACTTATAGCGGCCAATATACTAGTTATTTTAATGAAATTGAGTGAGCGTATTTTTCTAATAAAAGTGTGTGCCTAAAATGCTGACTTTACGTAATATACGAGTATATGTTTATATATATATATATTTATAAAATTGCTTAAAAATATGTTAAGTTTTCAAGTACATCTGGACAATGTCAAAAAACAACGGCAATCAGCCCTCCAATGATTTTAGTATAATTTTTGCTGACGGCATGTAAAATATAATAATAAAACAAGTAAGGAAGGGCTAAGTTCGGATGTAACCGAACATTTTATACTCTCGCAAAGTCAAATGGTATACTCGTTTGAGATTTCTTTGTGGATTGACTGATATTTTCGGTAGAAGGTCAACTATAGGCAATGGGGTCCATATATTTAGCACTTAGGGGATTGTACAGTTTTGGTTTGATTTAGACAATTTTTGGCCGCAAGGGGGCATACTTTAATTGCATTATTCACGCAAAGTTTTACCCCGATATAATCATTGTTACCTGATTTGCATAGTGAAAAGTGAAAGAATCAGATGGAATTGAAAATGGTGTTACATGGGAAGTAAGCGTGGTGGTCCGATTTCGCCCATTTTCACACTATGACATAGAAACATGAAAAGAACGTTATGCACCGAATTTGGTTGAAATCGGTTGAGCAGATCTCAAGATATGGGTTTTCACTTAAAAGTGCTGTGCCACGCCCACTGTCTAATTTTGAACGCGGTTCCTATAAAGTCATCGTTATACCATCTCAGAGATAAAATTAATGTTCTGGCGTGTTTAGTGCTGGGATTTATCGCGCTTTTAGTATAGTTTTAAATACCATTATATGGGATGGGCGGAGTTGCCACGATTTCAACTATTTTCACACCGTCAATAGAAGTGCTAAAAATTTGCTTCTAGTGAATTTGTTATTATAGCATTAGCGGTTTAGGAGATATGCACATTAAAACTATAGAGCGGGACCACGCCCACTTTTTAAAAGTTTTAACTGCAGATGCCCTCCTAGTGTGATCCTGTGTACAAATAACATTTTTGTATCTTATGCGGAGCTTAGTTATGTCAAGTTATTTGTTTTGATTAATGGCGTATTGTGGGCGTGGCAGTGGTCCGATTACGCCCATCTGCAATACCAACCGTCTCACGTACAAGAAACATGTCTACCAAGTTTCATAAAGATATCTTCAATTTTTACCAGTTAGAGCTTGCACGACGGACGGACGGACAGACAGTCACCCGGATTTCACTCGTCTCTTCATCCTGATCATTTATATATATATAACCCTATATCTAACTCGATTAGTTTTAGGTGATACAAACAACCGTTAGGTGAAAAACTATTATACTCTGTATATATGCAATAGGTTGCGAGAGTAATAAAATTAAGTGAGTATATGACTTTCAAAATAAGTTTATATAATACGATACCAAATTTGATTGTAATCCATTCACCATTTCGTCGAACAATGATTGCACCTTTCGCTACTTTTTTAATATAAAGCTTTGCCAACACCTGAAGTATTTAGCCGGCTTTGATTCTGTAAGTTTTAAGAGTATAAAATGTTCCGTTATATAGGAACTAAGTTTTCTTACTTGTTATGAATAAACTTTATGAAAAATTGTAATTAATTTCTCAAATTAATTAATCATAATTTACACGCTATGAAAAGATGCTGAGAGAAATACTACTGGCAATAGACCACGCATACCCATTTCAAAAATATTTTCACCACGCACTTACTCTTACATACACCCAAATATTTTGCATAATTTTTATGATTTAAAGAATATGCGAAATTGCTACGCACACTTCTGGCGGACGCCCATAAATAGGCGAAACCAGAGAATGTAAAACTGAGCCGAAATATATGTACATCTTTATTTGTACTTACCACTGGCGTAAATAAATGAAGGACGCGAAATAATACAGCCGTCAGAGGCTAGGCTGCTATTGAAAATATACGGTGTTTTGTTGTCGTGTGTTTCTGTTATTGCTGGCTGTCAGTGGCACAACCCACTCGACGAGTACGCTCGTGTTACTTTGATAGCGCTCTTGGGTAATTTACACTCACGCTACTATAGCGTTTACTCTCTCAATTATCTTTTATGTTTCTATGTTCATTCGCTAGTTGTTATTGTTGTTGGGTTGCTGCGCTCGCACAATCAGCTGTCAGAATGGTAAGGATATTGTTTTGAAATATTTGGCAAAAATTATGTGATAAAAATAAAACTGAAAGGAAATGGTGAAGAATGAGGAGTAACACATGAAAATTGGCAAATTCAAACACACACACACATGAACACAATATACATATCGCATTTTTAGCTCACTTTTAGGCGGTTTTGCATGTTTATTTGCCGCTTGTTTTGCTTTAACTGAACGCGAAAACACATGGGCGCACACATATACATATTTCATGGACCTATACTAACATTTTTGCTAGGATTTTTACTTTTAAATGTTGTGCTTTGTTGCAAGCTTGGTAAATTGAATGTGAAAAATATTTTATTTTATTATGTTTAATTTATCGCTTAACACTTTATGTTTTTGTAAGTTATTTATTTATTTTTAATTTTACTTTTTTATATTCGCAATCAATTCTTAAAAACTTTCGTTTGCTCTTTTTTTTGAAATTTGCACTAACTTCCACTTTAATTTCTATTTCCACTATCATTTCCTCTTACCTTCACTACACATGCACACACAACAAATTGGGTCACATTTTATTCGATTCCTTGTCGTAATAACATAATCTCGGAATTCCCACAGCATTCCTGCTAATTAACACTCGTTTTATGCACTGCTTTTTTGAAATTATAAAATATGCCTTCATTTCATTGAAGTTTAATACACTTTAACTCACAAATTTTGCAAATATTTGCTTGTTTCCTTTGGAACTTTTTCCTTCCAACAACTGCAACAGTAGAATATTTTCACGCGCTGTCTTGGCCTCGCACAACATTCTCTCGCGCAATTCACGACATGTTTGCTGGGGACGACCAGTTGGGCTAACACAGCAACCATCTGTGAGCGAAGTATCGTGGTGTTACCACAGTGTAGCTAAATATAGAAAGTAGAAAAATGAGAGAGTAGAAAAGAATTAAAAATAGTTGAATAAAAAATGAGTGGATTAAATGAGGAAAGATTATAGTAAAAGATATTTAAAACTCCACTCAACAAGTCTGAGTAAAAATTTGCGACTGATATGCTAAGAGGTTTGTGGGTGTATTTGAGGTGTTCTGAGATGTCCTCAAACTCGTAGAGTTCACAAATTTTCCATCACGTACAGCTATTTTGGTCATTTTAGTAAATGATGGTGGTTTGACCCCTTCACTCCTTGACTACAACACTAAAAACCCTACGTGTTACGAAATTTTTAACTATTCTAAGTATTAGAAAATTAAGATATTTGTGAAAATTTACGTATTTTTTAAACGTAAACAATAATAACTTGCAAATGAGATGATTATATTTTTTCTATAAGATATGAAAAAATTAAATATATATAATTTATTTATTGAAAAAATATATATATGAATTTTTCCCCAATTTTTTAACATTCATGACAACTAACACACTTCTGTTTATAATGATGGTGATACTGACTGGGTATGTGATCGACATACATATCCTTTCCTCTGCAGGTAGCGAACCTTGAGCCAAAGATTCGGTCACATATAGCACAATCGGAGATATTAACCAAGGGGTAAGAATTAACAGCGGGAGAAGAGTTTATATGGTGTTTCAATCGGGCAAGTTCTTCAGCTTATAATTAGTGTTTGGGATCAAATAAAACTACACCAGTATTAATCTTTCGCGAAATTTAATCATATGGATGTAGAGGAAAAATCAGTAGGCCACTAAAGCTAAATTAATGAATTCTGCCCCAGCAGTTCATGGCTACCGAGACTCTAATAAATTTAAAAAATTAACGAGGAAACTAACATTCCGAAAATCTGAACGATGACAAATGAACGTAAAAAACCTAGTCTGAAAGCAATAATAAGTATTTGTACTAAAATAACTTGCTAGATTGGTGTTTTGTTTAAAATCCGGTTCAGATAGAATCGATAAAAAGAAGTGTAAAAAACAACATTATGACGAAGTGTTATACTTGTAGTAGAGTATTATACTTTGTAGTCTCAAATTTTAAATCGTTTTAATGATGTGATTTTTTCTACAATGTCCATTTCTTGATTTACATGCAATTTCAATTTAGGAGAAGTCTGGAGATTATTAAATAACAAGTAATTTATTGGGAAGTTGAATAATCCTTTTGATGCCTAAGTGCGGTCAACAACCTCGAAGCTAACGTATTTGATTCAGAAAATAATGTTGATAAAATTCACCTTAAACACAGCTTCCTTTAACATAACGGGATTTATCAAAGACTCAATATCATTTATGGAATGAAGAAGCATAATATCAGTCAATAATTTTTTTGAAATGGTGCACATCTAAGAAATGAAATTAAGCCAGTGTGATAAATTTGCGCTAAAAAGCACACAATCAAGCTTTCCAATACCAGAAAGCTTTGGCTTATATTTACCGCTAAGTTCAATTCCTTAAAAGTTCCGCAAAGAGAAGTTTACGCTAAACTTATACCGTCAGCTTAACTAGTAACTTTCAAAGTGTCGCAATTGAGCTTTTCCGTTTTAGATTTTCTGCAGCCATGATAAGTACCGAATGATTGTTTCGTTTGGGTACCCACAGATGGCTCCCCGTTCTTATACGAATATTTCGAGTAGTGTTCATTTACTCTATGAAACTAATAGAAGCTAGAGAGGTAATTTAATTGTAGTCATTTAGTTTGAAGCTACCTTCGGCGTATAAATGACTAGAGAAAAAGCCCGCTCCTGTTAATTTTTCACCCTTTCATCCGTTGGTGGATATGTAGATCTTAACGTTTGAATTGTCGTTCACAGAACCATTGGTCCGCTTTTCTCTACTGGAGAATGAAAACATTGTGTTTAATTCCTCATTAATTCCCTGTCTCACTCGCATTGCCAATTTAGCCAGAGTTCATTAACAAGGTCGATTATGATACTATCCCCGTAGTGACGTCTGGCTAATATGGTCCAAAATCATGAGCCGACTGGCGGTAAGCATTGCAGCATACTTCATTTGAATATGTATTGCCCAGGTATCGAGTATAACTTCCATAGCCTTTATTGATCTGGTTTTCATTGCGCCCGTAATCCACAGAAAGCTGGCCCATTGCACCTGTTCCTCGGATTAATGCGGCACTTTTTAGATAATGCCATCCACCACACCACCGCACCGTATATTAGTATAGGGCGGATGATATTTGTGTAGAGCCAACAGACTATATGGGGTAAACCATATTTTGTGACTCTTCTGCACAAGTTTCAGATACGAAGAGCATTAGAAGCCCTACTCTTAATGTGTTTTCTTCAACTCAATTTTCTATCTATGATAACTACGAGATATGTAACCAATAAGACCGTCATTCTGGCTGGGCAGTATGAGAGGTTGGAAATGTCTCGCATCTCCTCCATGTTGAAAACCCTGCAACCTTGGCTGTCAACCATTAGTTAGGTCCACACGTGGTCTTTCGATAAATACACTTGCCCACAGAATATAAGCCACGAGTTAAGTTTTACTGAGTTTGGTCTGGTGTGCATCCCAACATTTGTCACTATTTAATCGCATAGCCTTATTCAAGGTTCTGTGAGAGTTCCGTCGAAGGTTCTTTAATTCGCCATTCATTCAAGGTTTGTCTGTGGCGGAACCCGCCCTTCGGAGGGGGCTTGTTTACCATCTATTTCAAAGCAACAATAATATATTGCGTGATTGTGTTGCAAATACTTAATTAAACATAATGAATTTCTGAAATTTTGAGAGTTTCTTATATATAAAATAATTAGTAAAAAAAGTCTTAATGACCAATTAACTTGACTAATCAGGTTAATAGCCAGAAAGTATACAGTATCGATAAAACGATGAAAGCTTAATTAAACTTTTTTACAGTAGGTTTTTAAATCTAAAATTTAGGTCATATTTAGTAAATATTTTTTATTTTAGTCTGTAAACATTGCATAGAGTTGCTTTTGATCAACTTACCAAAGAATTCTAATAACTCACTTAATCAACGAAAAACTGTCATCTATTTCCAACCTTTGAGCATTATTTTACTTGACATTACTCTCCTTTATTCGCCCATATAAAATATTAATTTTTCGCCATCAGCGGAACACAAAAAGTTTTGCATACTTTTAGCTGCAGTAAACCAATATTACAATAATTTCAAATCGAGTAAGCTAAACCAATGGCAATTGATATACAACAACAAATTTTTCGTCTACAAATCGCATTGATTTCAAAGTCAATAATTCTTTTTAAGTCAACAAGAATCTTGTACTGTAATGCGCAGTTATCATTATGTGCTTTTAGGCGCATAACCGTTGGTAGGCGCAATAACGCGGAAAACTTTTATTCTGCTAAAATTTTCAGCAGCACAAAATATGCACAGTAGTCATAATTTCACTTTAGCCTGTAGGATAGGCATTTGCCTTTTCGATTCTTTGATTTTAGTTGTTTGTGAAAATTTGCAACAAAAATTCTTGATAAACAAAACTTTTTTATGTGTTGAGTAAGTAAGTAAGTTGATAAATATAAATATGTTTTTAAGTATGATTATAAAAATAAAAAGAAACCTCTCACAGATGTTTTGGAAAATTTAGGTATGAGAGAAGAAGCAGCATTTCAATAATTGCATGAATATGAAAATATTTTTTTTGTAAAATAAATAAAGAAGGTTTTTTGTATTCCAAAAATTATGCTTACGCCAAGAGATATGCTACGTTTTGGTAATAAAAAGGTTAATAATATAAAATTAAATAAATGACAGGCAAAGAGGTAGGGGAATTTATTATATAATATAATATATAAAGCTGCAACAACCGCAAATCGAATGTCGGCATTAGAAAATTTATTAGTCACATAGCGTTCATACCCTCCACAACTTTGCACGAGCTCACTAGGTTCTATAGACAACATTATACCCAACCTTATCTATAATTTAGCAGGTTTTCGCTTATTTTCCATGTGCATACGCCACAAACAACTTTCCAACATAAATAACAGCTCAACACACGCGCCTCAGCCCCCACGCACTGCCAACTTTTCGTACGCAAATAAAGATAAATGAAGGTGTTCGCAGTGCATTTGTAGATTACCAAAAGGCCAGAAAGAAAAATGTTTGTGGTTCCCTTTGAATGACTGCAATTTTTTCACCTAATACCATAGTTTTCGCTGCGAAAAAGAAACTTTCTTCATTTCACCTAATAGCATAGTTTTAGGTGTTTGGCATAAGATATACAGAGTACTAGCAATTTTGGAGCGAGCAGTGGCGGAAATTGAGTTGAAAAAGTTCGTCAAGCAACTATATTATCTAGGGATGAGGATATTTGGCGTCCATTGAGGATATTTAAATCTTCCATGCCTGAAATGGGCTCATTAGTTAACGGTGTAAGTATGTGTCTTGAGAAATTGGTTGCCTCGGTTAGTAAAAAAAAAAACATTTCCATTATCTAATGTATACATTTAGGCCGCATCCATATACAGCTATTCACCTATGCACTTACGCGTGCGGCTATCAATCGCGGCAGAAACCAACATTTCATTAACGCAGCAACTCAAATCGATTTCACTCATCCCCAACATAGGCTGCTTCCAGTAAAACTCACACTATGGCTCAGCTTTTCATTATTTTCGCATTCCGCTGCCGTAATGTGTAAAGTAAATAATTGTAAATCTTTGCCATCCTCACACCTCACAACTTCTAGCCAAAATACACACTTGTAAGCGCGCTAATGCTGCCGAAAATCTTACGAGATCACATTAATTAACTTCACTTCCGTTGCGTTTGTTTTTTCACGCAAGTGCGGCTGTGTGTATGTGCTGCCTATTACCGCCTACTTCCGTTCGCGTAGTTCGGCGTTTCTTAATTCTCAGTTTGCGGTTTATGGTGTTGTTTCAACGACTTATTGTTGTTGTTCTTGTTCTTTAGCGTATTTCCCGCTTATT